AAGTCTTTTGGGCATGTGCTCAGAAATGGATTGTTGGATCATATGGTAATTCTATATGTATTTTTTTTGGACCTGCCATATTATGTTTCACAGTGGCTGCACCATCTAACAGTCCTACCAGAAATGCACAAAGGTTTCAGCAAAGGGTTCTACACCCCTCTCTAATACTTGTTATTTTCTGTTTTGTTTGTTTTGTTTTGTTTTTATAATTTTTTTCAAATGTTTGTTTATTTTTGAGAGAGAGAGAGAGAAATAGAGAGAGAGTGTGTTAGCTGGGGAGGGGCAGAGAGAGACACGGAATCTGAAGTTGTGCTGACAGCTCAGAGCCTGATGCGGGGCTCGAACTCAAGAACTGAGGGATCATGACCTGAGCTGAAGTCAGATGCTTACCTGACTGAGCCACCCAGGTGCCCCATGTTTTTGTTTTTATAATAGCCATCCTTATGGGTCTGAACTGGTTCCTGTGTTATTTTTGGAGCAAATCACAAATGTAATGTTTCACCCACAGATATTCAATATGTATTTCCAAAAAGATAAACACCCTTTTAGAAAACAGAATTAAAAAAAAGAAAATAAGAGGCGCCTGGGTGGCTTAGTCGGTTAAGCGTCCGACTTTCGCTTAGGTCATGATCTCACGGTTCGTGGGTTCGAGCCCCGCGTCGGGCTCTGCTGACTGCCAGCTCAGAGCCTGGAGCCTGTTTCAGAGTCTGTGTCTCCCTCTCTCTCTGACCCTCCCCTGCTCACGCTGTCTCTCTCTCTCTTCTAGAAATAAATAAAAATATTAAAGAAAAAAGAATCTTCTGTCCTCTTCTCTAAAAAAAAAAAAAGAAACCCCAGTGTAAATAATTAATAAAAATTCTTTAATATCATTCATTATCCAGTCAGTATTCAGAATTTCAACTATTTTAGAAACGTAATAACTTCTTTTTAGGTTTTTGGTTTGGAACTGGAGCCAAATTATTCATATATTGCTATTAGTTGTCTTTTAAGTCCCTTTAAGTCCATAGTTTCCATTCTTTTATTTTTCCTTGCAATATATTTGTTGAAGAAATTAGATTTAAAAAATTTTTTTTAATGTTTTATTTATTTCCGAGAGAGAGAGAGAGAGAGAGAGAGACAACATGAACAGGGGAAGGTCAGAGAGAGAGGAAGATACAGAATCTGAAACAGGCTCCAGGCTCTGAGCTAGCTGTCAGCACAGAGCCTGATGTGGGGCTCAAACCCATGAACCGTGAGATCATGACCTGAGCTGAAGTTGGACACCCAACCGACTGAGTCACCCAGGTGCCCCGAAGAAATTAGATTTTTTGATAGTTTCCTGGGGTCTGAATTTTGTTAATACATCCATGTGTGGTGTTTAATGTGATCCCCTATATTTCCTTGCAACTTGGTAGTTAAATCTAGAGGCTTGATCTGATTCGCATTCAATTTTTTGGCAAGTCCACTTAGGTGGTATGGGTTCTTCTACTGGGAGACATGGGGTCTGGATGTCTCCTTTTGTGATACTTAGCAGGCATGTGTGATCATTGTTTGGGTCTGCATGATACATAATGGTTTGCTATTAGTCACATGTTGCTCTTTACATTTAAATTAGTTCAAATTATGTAAAATTAAAATTTAGTTTCTCAGTAGCACTAGCCACACGTCAAAAGCTCATAACCTCATGTTGCTCATGGTTACTGTGTTAGGGCAGATATAAAGCATTTCTATCATCACAGAAATTCTTCTGTGCAGCACTGGTCTAGATCTATTGGTTCATGAAGGGCTGTGATATGGTGCTACTCTAATTCCCACATTCATTTTACATTTATTAGCTGGAAAACTTATATAAGGAGAAAGGTCCCCATATCTACTATTTAGTTACCCAGTGATATAGTTTGCATAGGAAAAGCAGAATAAAGCTTAATTCTTTCCCTTTAATGAGATTGATTCTGTAAGTTATTGACCAATAAACCATGCTTACATCAATATAATCATGTAATTATTATTTACTGCAGACCCAACTAATGAATTATGGTTATACTTCCTTTTTATTCAGTTTTTTTCCCTTGAGTATATAATTTCATTTCCCTTTTATTGCAGTATTTTATAATATTGTAGTCTCAATTTTCTCCCCTAATTTTCCATCATGTTTGTCTATTCTATTAGATCCCCTTTCCCTCCTCCCCTTATTCTTATAATTCTTCTTCCTGTTGAAACTTTTCTTCATGGCTGTTTGGGGTTATGTATACTTTTTTCTGATTCTTACATCTTCTTTTGTCTTGGCTTTTTAAAATTGGTTTGCTAAATATGTCCTCCTAAAGTAACTTCCTAAAAAGAGTTGTGGAAGACAAAGTTTCTGAGCCATTCCATTTCAATAAAATACTTTTATTCTATCTTCACTCTTGTTTGACATTTTGGTTGGACATAGAATTCTAATTTTAAATTCTGGACTGTCATATAGACAGTTAAGGATATATTTCATTATTATTATCCCTTGTTAATTTCAATATAATTTCTTGTTTTCCAGTGGACAGGGATTTTTTTCCTTCTACTCTTGGGTAAAAAAAATTCTCAGGGAATATTTTGGTGTTCTGTGCAGGAGGCTATCGAAATAGTTCTCAAATAGGTGATGGATAGAAGTTGACATTAATTTCATATATAATATTTCTGAAATATTGCAAGTTTGAATGTACAAGAATTGAACAATAAACTCTAGGATGTAGTCTATGCTCTAAATCAGCAACTAATGTTTGTCCCAAAGTCAGTTCCACTGGTCTGAGAATAGAGGGGTAAAAGTAAGAGTGGTTCCTCCACTACCTCTAGAGATCTACTACTGAAATTTTTGCTTCCCACTCCAAGAACATAATTTTTAAATACTTTACAGTGTTCTGTTGTATGGATATACCATAATTTGCTTAACCCAATCTCTTGTTGTTAACTTCAGATTATTTTCAATTTTTCTTAATTACTTAAAAAAGACACTGAGATGAACAGAGATAATCTTTTTAATAATTTTTTATTGAGTACTCTGTACCAGGCATGTAGTAGCTTCATCTCTATGCAAATCTATATGGGTAAATTTCTGTATGGTTAAGTTTTTCAACAAGTGTGTATTGTGGGAAGGAAGGCATAGAGAGGTACTTTTTTTAAGATTGACACAGATATAATTTTATAAAATAACTAGGTCAAGGGGGTGCCTGGGTGTTTCAGTTGGTTAAATGTCTCACTCCTGGTCTCTGCTAGGTCATGATCTCATGGTTCACGGGTTCGAGCCCTGCAGAGTCTGCTTGGAGTTCTCTCTTTCTCCCTCTCTCTCTCCACCCCTCTCCATCTCATGCTCTCTCTCTAAATAAATAAACTTAAAAAAAAAAACCCTAGATCATTCTAAACTTTTCTATAGGTCTTCTTGGAATGCAACATTTGGAGTCCCTCTTACATTTGTTTGCCTCTAAAACAAACCTGAACTTGTTGATCCATCTCCATGAAGTGAAGCTTGAAAAGAATTCTCTCCATGTTCCCAAATCCCATTTTAAATCAAAGTGCCCCCAAATTGCCTCTTCTTGTAGACCTTCTGTGACCCATGGTATACTGAAGGAGAGCTGAATGTCAGTTCCCATCCTAGAAATAGCACTTGCATTCTCATGTGGTTCTCATCCGTGTTATAGTTTGAGAAGCACTGATTTGGGCCTCCAGGCTTGGCTCACACTTGACACAGGTCCTCCTCTCTGAACAACAGAGGTGAGGAGGCTAGACCAGCAGTAACAGTTTATAACGGGACAGGATCTCTACCCAAGGATCCACTCAGACACTTTTCACTATCCTCAAGCCCTGCCTGTACAGGAAGCCGGCCACTAAAGATAGGCTGCCTGTGGGAGACATAGGGACATAAGGGACCTCCGCTAGCTATGCAGCAGGGTGAAAAAGGGTGGAACAGGAAAAGGAGGAAGGCAAGTTCCTGGATTCCAAAAACCACAGTTTGTCTAGGTGCTACTTTCTCCCTTATTTAGCACATAGCTTTGTCATGTGACATCCCTTTGCTGACCTCTTTTCCTTTTGCATTTCACCCTGCATTCATAAGTCACCATCTACAACTATTCTCCATGGATTAAAACTTTAAGTTGTCAGGGACTGAATGTGCCCTGTTTCCAACAGTTTCTGGCAGTTCTCTGCTTTTATAGTGTAGTCATGGTGAACCCTGAGTCATCTGAAGATGGTGCCCGTGCCAAAGAACTGGGGAAGGAGCTGTTGACAAGCCCGGGTGGCAAGGAGCTGGGCTCAATAACTGCTGGGCACCCAGGGCCACACTCCTATCGGGACAGGAGAGCTACCTCAATCCTAACTGTGTTTATACAAATTGCCCTAAGCTCTGCAGTTCTAATGACTACTTTCTGTAGCAAATGTGTTTCGAGACAGCCAAAAATATAAAGCATCTCCCCAGAAAACTGTTTCTCACAGTTCCAAGTAGCAACACCTAGCTTATGCATGTGCCAGAATTCTTTCCTTTCCTTTTCTTTCTTTCTTTCTTTCTTTTTTTTTTAAACTGAGAAACCACATCGTTTTCCTGGACAGGCCAACAAAATACCTTACTTTGTGTTTTAATTAAAAGTAGTTTTTCTCCTGTCTTCATTCACATACATTAAACTACCCAGAAAACACCTTGGTTTGGCCTCGTGTGTGTGTGTGTGTGTGTGTGTGTGTGTGTGTGTGTGTGTGTGTTTGACTTTTCTCTAAAATTATGACTCATAGTCTGGGGGACAATGATTTTTTTCCAGGTCACATAGCTGCTCTGAATTTCTCCTCACAAGGATGGGCCTGTTTATTCACTCTGGGCATCGTTGGTAGAGCGCTAGTGTAAACAGCCCGAGGAACCCGGTGGGCCGGGGAAGCGGGCGCCCTGTGTTCTCCGCGGGGGGCAGGGATGCTAGGGGCCAGGTGGGGCCGACCGCATCTAGAGACCGCTTTCTGACCCCCCTGGGTTTGCGATGCCGGCCCGAGCAGCCAGAAGCGCCATTGTGATGCCGGTGGTAGGGGTGGAGCCACCCAGTCCCGTCTCAATTTAGACTTCTCACTCCGCTTTTAGGCGCGCCCATTTCAGATTGCTAAACTCCGGAGTCAGGGGAAAAAAAGCGGGGAGGAGGTGGAAAGCCACACCCCGCGGCGCCCGCGAATTTCCCCAGGAGCCGACGGTGGCTCGGGCAGACGCGGCCGAGATGCGGGGCCCGGGGCTCCTGACCGCAGCCCACCTCGCGTGCGTGTGGACCGTCGTGCTGGCCGCGGCCCCCGGGTAGGAGCGCGGGCCGGGCGCGGGGAGAGGGGAGCGGCGGCCGGGCGGGCGGGCCGGAGGGGGCGGCGGCCGCGAGTGGGAACCCGCCGCGCGGCCGCACTCCCCGGCCTGGAGGGTTGACCGTCTGTCGCTTCAGCGTAGTGCTCCACGGGACAGTTACTTTTCCCACCCGTGAAGTTGTTGAAGCGTCTCTCTGGCCGAAACGACTTTCTAGAGAGTCCTTTAGTTTTAGTCCGTGCTGCCTCTGCTTTTTCCTCAAGACATTTTTTTTTTCTTCTTCTTCCACACAGCGTGCCTTCTTCTCCCAAAGGCACGTGATCAGTATTTTTCTAAACTGTCTCAACTTCGGCATTGGCAAGGTGGGGCTGAGGTGACTGAAGTGGTTCAGGTGCAGACACCGTAGGCAGGTAACTAACGAGGCAAGCCGCATAATGGAAAGCGCCCCACTCCTAAAGGGTTTTGTAGTTGAGCCCTAACCCCTCCCTGGCTTGGGCAGAGAAAAGTGCTCTCTTTGCTGACTTTTATGCTCTGCTACACCTGGACATTTTACCACTGGCAGTTTACTTTCAGATGGTATCTTTCAATCAGTGGTGTTTGTTAGATGATGTTTTCTGGGGTAGATGCCGAAGGATGGTTTGAATAAAACCCGCAAAATGTTGAGTGTGTGTGCGCGCGCCTGCGCGCGCTGCGTTTAAGCCAAGAAAAAAATCACGCCAGGATGAGGTTGTCTGTAAAGGAGAAGTTTAGAGGCTTGTAACTTTGCCAGTAACTTCTGCTTGCCCCCGTGTATGCCATTTACACTGAGGCTCATCCTCTGCTCTTTGTGGCTTATAAAATGGAGATAAGAACACATGTCCTCCTCTAGTGGTGCAGGAATTACTGCATTAAATGGATTTATGGGAATTCTTGTTTCAATAGCATTTCAGCACAGTTGCTAAATGGAGCAGTGGGGGCAATATTGGATAATTGGAACAATTGCAATTGGCGCAGTGTGGAGGGTCTGTCTCACTGTCTATTAAATTTGAGGATTGGAAAAGAATGGAGATGTAAAGATAAGAAATTGTATTTTTCTCTTGTTGGCAACCCCTTAGGCCTAGGTTTCTGGTGACAGCCCCGGGGATCATTAGGCCTGGAGGAAATGTGACTGTTGGAGTAGAGCTTCTGGAACACAGCCCCTCCCAGGTCACTGTGAAGGCAGAGGTGGTCAAGATGGCAGCCAACCTCACTGTCTCTGTCCTGGAAGCAGAGGGAGTCTTTGAAAAAGGTAAGATAAACAGCACAGAGTCTTACCCTTCTGGAGTTATAATTGAAGTATGTTAGTAAAGCCATGTGTGAGGGTGGGTAACAGAGAAACCCCAGGTGCAGTGTTTTATGTAGTACACTTGTAATTTTTGCTCCAAAAGTGAAGTCCAAAATGGTGTTCTTGGATGCTCTGCTAAGTGAAGATTCAGAGACCCAGGTTCTTTCCACTTTGTGGCTCCCTCATCATCAACACGGGTTTCCAAGACGGCAGGGTAAGAGCACGGAGTTTCTCATGCCAGAGGTTTTCATGGGATGTGCTCATATCACTTCTGTTCCTCTTGTGTTGGCCACAATGTAGCTGCAAACGAGGCTAGAAATGTAGGTCAGTGACTGCCCAGAGAAGGAAATGGGCAAAGTTAACAGTCTGATGCAAAATCATATTCATATATAGTTTACATAAACCATATGTTACCATGTTTCTTTATATTTATTGAGTGCTAAAATGATTTTTTTTAAACGTTTTTTTTCTTTTTTTTTTTTTTAATGTTTTATTTATTTCTAGGAGAGAGAGAGAGACAGCATGAACAGGGGAGGGTCAGAGAGAGAGGGAGTCACAGACTCTGAAACAGGCTCCAGACTCTGAGCTGGCAGTCAGCACAGAGCCCGACGAAGGGCTCGAACCCACGAACCGCGAGATCATGACCTGAGCGAAAGTCGGACGCTTAACCGACTAAGCCACCCGGGTGCCCCTAAAATGATTTTAATAAATAGGCTTGTGGAAAGGAAAAGAGCTACCCAATGTTAAAGTCCAGTTTTATGGAATATTTCTTAATTTTTAAAGTATGGGGGAAAATGATGTAAATGTGGGGGCCATTTGTAAAAGAACCCACATCTCTTAAGTTTGGATTCTAATCTGGTTTAGGGTTAAATTGGGTCAATGATTATCTTCCTTTTTGATACTAAGGGAAAAATAATTTTTGGGATAAATACTTTAGCTTTTTTTCCATTAAAATGAAACTTTATAGTATTTTTTTTTCTCACTGAAAGAGAAATATATACTCAGTGGTTACAACTGGAAGTAAAGGAAATAAACTAAGATCACCCATAATCCTAACCACCTAACTATATGAACCTACTAACAATGAACTAGAAGCATGTTTAGATATTTACTCAGAGGGCAGAAATTGAGGTATAAATGCCTATAATGTTAAGAGTTATCTTAAGAAATTAATTTAAGGACACATAATTAAGGGTGGAAGGGATTTCACAATAGTTCATTATATTAATGTTTGTCCTCTACCAGCATAGAGAAGTTAACACTATCATGAAAGGAGATAAAATCCATATTTATCTCTATCTGTGTTTTTTTTTCTCCACCGGAAGTTGACTGAGTAGGTGGGTAAGTTTGGAATAGAAGTCAGGAAGAGGTGATGTGTACAGGGGCCAAACCACTTTGTCTTTCATAGGAGAAATGTTAGGAAAGGAAAGTGGGAGGCCTTTTTTCCCCGGGAGAGGTAATGTAGATTAGTGCTAATGATCTGAGATTGTCTACGCACCAGTTGCATGATCTTGTGCAGTCACCTAAGTGTTTTGAGCCTCAGTGTACTCCTTTATAAAATGGGGATAATAAAACTTACTTCCCAGAGCAGGTGTACACTGAAAGTCAGTGTCTAACACCTATTGGGAATGCAGTAAACGACTATTAATATTATAAGTAGTAATACCGAAGAAGATGCATTATTTCCTTTTTATATGGGAGTAGACCTCTGTTTTCATTATTGAATTACTATTTCTGAAAATGAAGGAATCCTGGTCTTATGATAATGGCTAAAGAAAATATTGAAATACTGCATCAGAGCGGACAATATTTCATGTAGTTCCACATTCATTATTAACTAAATTTAATCATCTTGGCTCTACTAATGTGGCAGTTTTACTGCAAAGTAGAGGTCCAGGGTAACATGGATGATTTTAATAAATGTTTGGGCTTTGCTGAGATGTTTGCATGCTCTTATTTTAGAATTTCTACTGCATTATCTTTTCTGCAATCTCCTTTATCAGGCTCTTTTTCTGCAAATAGTACCAACACTGTGGTGGGGGGAGGGGGTAGTGAGGCTCTTTTTTTAACTTTATTCTTAGATTTTTCTTTTGGGAAGAGAGTTGGTCAGATGCTTCTGGGAAGGCTAACGTGCTCAAGACTGTCAGACAACACTATCCTGAGAGCAAAATGGATCTTTGAAAAAGAGAGGGAGAAAATGTACTTCTTTCAATGGGTGTTTTTTGACTGTTGAAATACAGTTTCATTGAAAATACCATTTCTGGGAGTACTCTCTCTCTTTCAAAGGAGAATGTTACTCTGTTATCAGAGGCTATGAGTCATTGTTCTCAAAGCAGATGCTTCCTGTAATGTTAGGACTTAAGGACCAAGACTTTTTTTTTATTTGACTTCTCCAGTTGGAGCAATACATAGACAAATGAGCATTTTAAATCAGTGGATCTTCAACATCCAGAGATCCTCCTAGGATTCATTGTTTTTCCCTTGCCACATAAACACAGACAAATAAATACACTTTACGTCTGATGATTTCATCACTTTCTTATGAGGGCCTCCAGGAAAAGGTTGGTTCTAATAAAGATTCATCTTCCAGCAGAACTGGGTAAGGAGGGGGACTATTTCTGGGTGGCTGTTTCTAGCAGTCTTGGCATTTTTAGAAATTCCTGAGGCAGAGCAGTGTTCCACCATAATCAGAATGCATTTGTAAGTTAATTTGTGTCAGAAATGATAATAGCTAAAGGATTCAAATTGCAGAATATCCTTTATTTTATTATTATTTATTTTATTTTATTAAAAAAATTTGTTTTAATGTTTGTTTATTTTTGAGAGACAGAGAGAGACAGAGCATGAGTCAGGGAGGGGCAGAGAGACTGGGAGACACTGAATCTGAAGCAGGCTCCAGGCTCTGAGCTGTCAGCTCAGAGCTCAATGCTGGGCTCAAACCCACGAACTGTGAAATCATGACCTGACCCAAAGTCGGATGACTGAGCCACTCAGGCGCCCCACAGAATATCCTTTAAAAAAGGGATGAGTGAAATAGGTGAAGGGGATTAAGAGTACACTTACTCTTGAGAAGCACTGAGTAATATATGGAACTGTTGAATCGCTGTATTGTACACCTGAAATGAATATAACACTGTATGTTATCTACACTGGAATTAAAATTTAAAAAATAGAAATAAATTTAAAAAAAGGCAGAAAAGTATGGCTTGTCCTCGAAGAGTTCATTTATTTGTTTGACAGATACAGGGAAAATTTTGTTTACATTTCCATCCCTGAGGCCAGCAGCATTGATTACATTATAGTTAGCTTATTCATTTTTAAAATGTATTCATTCTATATTTATTAGGGGTCAATTATGAGGGTTTTTGGGTGAACAATAGCCCTTTAGAAAAAGTGTTTCTACTAAGCTTTGTGGCATACTTTACGGGTGTATTAGTGCCTCTTTAGTGGTGAGATTCAGACACTCAAGTGTGCTGGTCATTATCCCCACCACCACTGCCACCACCACCCTCATCCTCACCATTATCGTCCTCTATATAGTGAAAAGAGCTAAGTTCATAGTCTTCCATTGTATAAAATAGTTAAGTGGACATAATTGACAAAACATGGTAAAAGTTCAGCTGGTAGTAATTACCAGAGGAGAGAAAGTGGAGTAGCTTTTGGTATTTGAAATCAAATCAGACTCCATATTGGGTGGAGAGTGAGTCTGTCCCTTTATTTTTTTCCCTTCTCGGTTTTTATCTTTTCTTTGGTGTGATGTTGCCCTGGAGTTACATGCCAAATCAAGAAAAAAAAAAGTTTAAGTACAACTGAATTCACGGGTCAGATATGAGAACTGTCCTCTCATCTGTGAAGGCATATGGAATGACTGAATTATTTTTTAACGTCCTTGAAATCATTCTTTCTGCTTTATTCTCCTTCTCTTTCCACAGTTTCAGATGGTCATTTGTAAACTTTCAGTGTTTCTCTTGAGTGAGATTTGCCTCAAATAATAGCGAATACACCCTTTCCCCTCATTAATGAATTCCCTGTCGCTGGTTTCACATAAACCTGATTTAAGAAAAAAACCTAAACAGAAAATGTCAGTGGAAACCTTGGGTGTTCTGTAGGGCATCTTGTGGCGAGTGCCTGCCAATGGGGATTCATTGTTTATTTATTTATGGTGCCAAGCCTACTTCCATCTTCCCACTGAGGCACTGGCATGAGACTTACTCTATGAGTGTATTTATATTATTTCATAATGCTTTTTCTTTTTGCTTTAAAATATTGGAGACTTAGGGTGTTTACTTTCTATTTTTTAAAAGTTAAAAATTCTTCTTTGTCCTTCATTGTCTTTTTCACATTGATGATAGGGTATTTATTTTCCATCTTGATCCAGTGAAGGGTGGGAAATCAGTATTTCTCAAATGTGAGGTGTTAGCTGAAAAACTTAAAAAAAAAATCATCCAATTCAGTTTGGATGGGCTTTCTGCTGGAAAGAAAGCTCCTGAGCATACATTTCATGGGCTTGTAGATCAAAATCAGTCCCATAGTTTTTATGAGAGTAGATTAATTAGTGTGTGGGCAGATCTCCTGGGCAGGTTTTCACAGGAAGGTTTGCCAGTAAAACTCAGCCTGAACTTGTAGCTATGTGAGAATTATTTTTAAAGGGTGTGGACTCTTCACTCACATGTCTTTGCTATTGTGTGTATTATATCACACAGTATATATATGTGTATATATATATATAGGTAGGTAGGTGGTGCCGGAGGATAAAGGACCATGGTGTAATCATGATGTGGTTAGACTCTGAAGCCAGGCTACCTGAATGTCCTTCCATTAGTGGTTGTGTGGTTGTGGTCAGTCATGATCTCACCAGGCTTCAGTTTTATTATCTGAAGAATAGTGGTTCCTGCCTTATGCAATTACATGGTTATTGTATGGATTAAGTGAAGTAACATGTTTATAGCACTTAACAAACAAGA